GTGAAAATAAAGGATTGGGACAGACACGATGACTTAATAGCCTTTTTTCAGTGGTACTCTAATGATTAATTTTTCTGGATTATGCCCATGAATAGCACTAGAGCTGAATCCATTGCCTTTGGGGAAAATCAGCCCAGTGAAAATAAAGGATTGGGACAGACACGATGACTTAATAGCCTTTTTTCAGTGGTACTCTAATGATTAATTTTTCTGGATTATGCCCATGAATAGCACTAGAGCTGAATCCATTGCCTTTGGGGAAAATCTTACCTCGGTACATGTTGTCATGGCTGAATGCTGGGAAACTGTACTTTTCAACCTCCTTGTCCAGAGGCAGTAAACTTCTGAATAGCAGTGTAAGGAGGTAGGGATGCCATTAATGATACAGGGAACGTGTCTGATTATACAAGTTGTTCAATACTCATGATCCGACTGTGGACCAATCAAGGATATGTTGCACTGAGCAACCTGAACAGCTTCCAAAGCCAGTTTACAGCTGCCTGTATGTCAGAAGGCAACCCACAGGTGATCCAGGTTCTGAGCTTCCAGCACTTCCCTCTATCCTAGCCTTGTACAAGGAACACAGGAAAACTGGGAAGGGGGTGAGAGAATCAGGAGATGACTCACAGATGATGGGGGGATCAGCTCAGAATGGGCTTCTGATCCACCCCCCCCCCAAAAAAACCCACTTGCTATACAGTGAAGTTTCAATTGCAAAAAAATGGAGGAAAACAAGATTGTTTCTTTCTTTGTCTCTGCAGCTCTAGCCAAAAACTTGGGGTGGAAAAAGAAAGGTGATCAATTTCTTCTCCTCCACCTCAGACTGAGAGCTTGAGCTGTGGAGCATCGGAGGGATATTTTTTTCCCTCTGCAGCCCAAGCTGACAGCTTGTGGTGGGGAGAAGAGAATGGGAAGCACCCTCCCTAGTTTGCTGCATCTCATCAAATCTGGGATGCAGCAAGGTTTCCAAGGTAGTAGATCATAACTTTCCCACATGATCAGCTGGGAGTTTGATCCTGATTGCTCCCCACCCCCTAAAAAAAAACTTTACTGGGTACAGAACAAAATTTCTCCAGCAGAAGATAAGAAGCTGACTCCAAGCTGATCCTTCCAGCTGGGAGGGAGCTGCTGATTGCTGTAAGTAGCCTGTTACTAGGAACAGATTGCAAACAGCCTGCTGATTAATCGGCTACCCGATCTCCACTGGTGAACAGGATGTGAGCAGAACCAGCAGGTGTGTGAGCATCCCTACTTGGAGGCAACATCAAGAGGAGGCCTTGGCCTCTATTCCTTCTTTGGTGACCCTCGAAGGCAACTGATTGGCCACAGTGTGAAACAGGATGCTGGATTAGATGGACCATTGGTCTGATCCAGCAGGGCACTCCCTTGTTCTTATGTACTACCCACAATGTTCAAGGAAAACTGGCAACAACAGATAAAAAAAACATGATGGAAGGGTGTTGCACCAGAAATAACTTGTAGAAAGGCCTTTAGACCACCCGCTTTAAAAAGCAGACCTAATAACACCCACTGTGAGATTAGACTAAATCAAAATGTTCTCTATGTTCCAAATCCTTGCTAAAGCACAGAAAAAATAAACCACCCACTATGTGTGTTTCTAATGTGCTAGGAATGCAAATTAGGCTGTCACTGGGATCCAGACTTTAACACCATCTCAGCAGGTTCCAAAAGAGGAGAAATAGCAGGAAGCCAGATGAACACAGACCCGGCACTACTCACCAAATGGAGTTGGTGCTTTTCTGCTTTCTGCTTATAGTTAATGGAATTCTATTCCCTTCCCAATCCAGAAAGAGGCATGATATTTTAAAACATGTCTACCCTGCCTTTCTACTAACAGAACAGCACGCTACAGCATTACCGTGAGCATTACATCAGCCATGGTAGCTGTTACTGAACTGTATTCTAAATGATGGCACTACATATTATGTGCTGGCGGTGTGATTTAGAAAGGGAGGATATAGGGGTAGGGAGGGCCTATTCAATTCTTTTTCACATTCATGGAACATCATCTTCCCTAATCTGCTTGTGCCCATATGAGGGGGAGTTTATGGGTACTGAATTTTTCAGCACAGGATGTGGAATTTTATAGTATAGCCCAATCTCATCAGATCTCAGAAGCTAGGCAAGACTGAATATGTACTACAGATATGTTAGGGTAAACTGTTTTTTCTTCAAGACTGCATTCCTCAGCATGCTTACCAGAAAGTAAGATCCAGTCCGAACATTTCATTTTAAACTGTTTCTTCGTTTTTTAGTACATAGACTGATGTTTGAAGTGGGGACAAGTGGAACATTGTAGCAGCCACTTCTGTGAGTAGAAAAATTGCATCCTGTATTTATTTACATATTTAAATCTGGGACAAAATAGCTGCAGATGCAATCTTTCTCATGTTCCCTCCTCACAGTACTAGATCACTCACATCAGCTGCTAACTCTGTGGATTAGTCCACCAAAATTGGAGCCAACGGTCTTTGGGTCTGATTGAACTCCGTGGACTTATCTCCGTGGACTTATCTCACAAGCCTTCTGGCTACCACCCTGAGCGAGACATGACAAGAAAAACAATTATCCTCTTGCGAGTGCATCCCCATCTAAAATAGCTCTTTCATGCATTCCAGCTACAGTGAACCAAAGGACAATTGCAGTGTGCCCCTTTCTCCAACTGACCACTTGAACCCAAACTGCATTCAGCCTTTTCACAGTCAGCATTCTTGTGAGGCACTCAGAATAATCCACAAATGTGCAAATGATGATGGGCATTCAAAATGAGGATGTGGCAAAGCAAATAATAATATACCATATGGCTGGCTAGAATAGTATTTCTGGGTCACTACACATTGTGGTAAAGTCAGGATTGTAAGACACTTTTATTTTATTATTTTAAATGTATAGAAATGCCATATGTATATACTTAGGTAAAGGTAATGGTTTCCCTTGCTCGAAAGCCAGTCGAATCTGACTCTAGGGTTGCAGTGCTCATCTCCGTTTCCAAGCTGAAGAGCCAGCACTGTCCAAAGACTTCTCCGTGGCCATATGGCCAGCATGACTAGATGCCAAGGCACACGGAACGCTGTTACCTTCCCACCAAAGCTGTACCTATTTATCTACTTGCAATTTCTTGCTTTCAAACTGCTAGGTTGGCAGGAGCTGGGGCCAGAGACGGGAGCTCACTCCATCATGCAGCACTCGGGTCTCGAACTGCTGAACTACTGACCTTCCGGTCTGGAGTTCAGTGTCTTGACCACTTGAGCCACTGCAGCCCCCATGTATATACTTACTTAATTCCAACTTTTGTAATCTAACTAAAGGGAAAAGATCATTACCTTAAACAAATGAGTCCTTTGCTAGAGAATATAAATTAGCCTTTAAAAAAAAAGGAGATTAAGTTGAAAATAAACTATTTTGGGGGAAAGCTTTCCCCTCTCCTGCACTCAAAAATGTGGTTATGAATTTGAAATACTTGTTAGCTCATACAAAGAAGAGGCCCCTCAATAGTATTAGAGATGCACAGTTAAAGGTAACATGGGTTTAAGCCAAATTGAGGGTGACTTCTTCTATTAAGCCCCCCCCCTCTAGAAATAATGTGGAGTAGTGGTCTCTCCAACAGAATTTTATTTTATTTTAAAAATTATAAAGTACAAAAAACCTGCAATGTGTAAAGGGTACACACACCCCCCATGAACAGCCCCCATGGAAGTGCCAGCCTGTATCGGTACTATGCAAAACTGACATGGCGAGAGTTCAGCAACTAGGGCCAAATCACATGCCCTTCAGGCATGACTGGGGGATCTTCATCACATTTCAGTTAATGCACATTACAACCATTCACAAGTACATACTTTCCTGTTTTAAATGATACCACAAACCCCTCCAGCTATTATGGGAGAAAGCATCCACCCCTCCCCGCTTGCTTAATTCAGATGTTAGTCTATAACACCCTACAATTTGACTTAGGGTGTTTCTCCATTATACCCCACAGATTGACTACAATGTACTGTGAGATTGCTGCTCCATTTCCTACCTTTAGTGAGGGAAGCCCAGTTCTTATACATATCACAGGAGGAGATTTGGTTACTATTTTTCCTTTCATATTGATATTGCTTTGGGCTGAGTAATGTGTACTGCCCAGTTTTAGGACAAGCAACCATTTTTGTTTTCAAAAAGCGCATCGGTCTGTCCCACAGAGTTGCCAAATTCTGGGTTGGGAAATTCCTGGAGATTTTGGGTGTGGAACCTGGGAAGGGTGGGGTTTGGGGAAAACAGACCTCATTGTGGTATAATGCCATAAAATCTACCTCCAAAGTAGTCATTTTCTCCAGGGGAACTGGAGATAATCTGTAATACCAGGAGATCTCCAGGCCCCAGCTGGAGATTGGCAACCCTATGTCCCACCCCATATCTGCCACCCTGCAATGGCAGCCAAGAATAGCAAAACATTTATTCTAGCTCAGTTATGGCATCCCCTGATAGTTAATATTCATTTACAACTCCTGAAAAATCAATAAGCATGTTTAATGTGGAAATAATGTTACGGAGCATCAACCTTCAGCATTGTTTTAGAACTACTTGAAGTACTTTGCATGCTGAAGGTCCCCAATTCAATCTCTGACACTTCCAGTTAAACACTCCTGGACAGCATGGCTGGGGAAAAAACTCTGCCTGAGATCTTGGAGAGCCACTACTGATTGAAGAAGAGACTGCTGGGTGTAATGGCCCACTGATCTGACTCAGTGTAAGGCAGCTTCATATAAAAAATAGGATGCTGCCCAAACATCTCTCCTTCTAAGGAATCTGTTATTTCATTCACAGTAAATAAGAAGCCATAAAATGGAACCATTTCCACCATCACTCCAAGAATACAATTTTCATTTAGAAGTTTGTAAGAGCTAGGTGCATATTTTTGAAAATAAAATTGGCATTTTCCTATGTAGGAAAAGTTTCTTTTTAATAACACACATTCAGAGTCATTTTGGGGAGTGGAAATGAAGGAAAAGAAGGACAGGTCCTTCTAGCCCCATGAAATTATCTGATGAACATCCTGGCGCAGAAGAAACGGCCATGTCATGTAGACAGCTCTATTATTAGCTACCTGTAGCACTAAACTGGAATGGGAGTTTCCTAAATGGCCTGCAGAGCTGTGCCACGAAGTTTTTGTTCTTCTGTTTAACTCACATTCAAATGCCCACATTGTTTCTCATATGAAAAAAAACTCTTTCCACCCACAAAGAGAAAAGTATTTTTATGATTTTTAAAAACTGGGACGATGTCGACTGGCAAGAAAGTAAAAACAACACAGCAACACAGATTGCAATGGTAATTTCAGATTAAAATCTGCTACCTATGATTAAGGTTTTGTTGTTTTTCCTCATACAATGCGTGCCTAAGCCAATAAAACCCTTGTCAAGAATGCTGCACAGGAAAATCATGGAGAAGTAATCAAACAAGGCCTTGTTTGCTTCTTAGCAATGGTTCTGTGGACGCAGAGGGATTTCTGGCACAAACGGTTCATTCAGGAAAGCAAGTGGCTCGCTAATGGGCATTAAGGAGGAATACTCTCCTCCAGCCTCTCCAGCTGCTCTTCAAGAAACTTAATCTGCTCCTCAAGGTCCTTCTGTTCAATCAAGAGCAATGTCTTTGCCTGTACAAAGTGCCTGTAGTCCTGGAGTTGACGCTCAGTCAAGTATTTGGAAAGGATGCCCGACACCACCCTTTCTCTGCGATCTAAGTTTTCTTTCAGGTCCTTTGCATCCTCCCGCTGTCTGGACAAGAGGCTGTGCCGCTCATTCAGTGATTGCTGAGGAGAAAGAACCAACACAGAACTTAGCATGCGTCACAAAACTGCAACTAATTTCTCTCCAGCACATTCCTTAGTCCGAGGGTCCCCAACCTTTTTGCCACCTGTGGACACATTTGGACTTCTGATACAGTGTGGTGGGTGCAGCCACAAAATGGTTGCTGTAGGAGGTGGAGCCAGCCACAAAATAGCTGCCACAGCTTACCTTCAGTCACACAGTGAAGATCCTTGTGCTGTGGTGGCAACGTTTTTAAAAAATTGCCCCGGCAATCAAACTTCGAAAGGCCAATCAGAAGCTTTGATGGGCAAAAGCCCTATCTGGCCCAACCTACTTTCTCAAAACATCTGATGGAGGCCAGGAGAGGTTCAGTGGGCACCACGTTGGGGATCCCTGCCTTAGTCACTTGTAACAATTTTTATTTTTTACTATTAAAGATTTATAAAGGCTACAGTTCTTTCCATCTGGCCTGAAGCTTTGATTTGTATTAACAACGTGACTTGTACTTCAACAGAAAGGATAAATATTGTGGTTTCACCATATGAGTGTCCTGAATTTGCTATGATTAGGTTGTCCCTCACCATGGTGTAATCATTATCTCCCCATCTCAATTCAACTCTAATGTAATGTATGAACCCAGGAAGATACAGAAAGACAATCAGTGCAAATAGATGGGCTTTGCTAAAACAGTTTCAACACAAGCTAAACATTAAGAAAAAGGCTTACCAAAATCTTTCATAGCTGGCTGGCCAGGTCCAGCCTGTGGACAGAGACTAGGGGACAAACTAGGTATGATAACAGGAGATAAATGAACAGTTTCCGAACAGCTTAATTTACAATGAAAACCAGCTGTAGGAGTTGATATTTTGATACAGGAATGGCAGAGCTGCTCAACCATTTTTGCCTTGCTGCTTTTCTACTAAAAATTGTGATTCTAGCTGTTTTTATTCACTCTTGAATGGGGCAATGACCAGAAAAGAAAGCAGTGGGTTATTCTCCGGTCAAAACGTAGGCTATCACAGATGATTTCATGACAAGAAAAGTTGTTCACATGTATCTTTATTTAGTTTGGCCCTAAGCGATAATACAATTTGGGATGGGAGTGTTACAGATATGGTCTAGCACATATATTGCCTTCAGCAGTACGTAAAATTCTGTGATGTAGCTGTTTGTTCTCTGCACTGCTTGCTATCATGTCATTGAGGGTCAACAACACAATCACTTCCCATTCCAATGTCACCAGATGGATCATTATCCTTTAGATCAAACTCATTCATTACAAGGGCTGGATCTGACATAAAGGTCACTTTGTCAGACCAAGCCACATGTGTCATAAAATGTAATGTCAGGTACCAGAGATATAAATTTTATAAAGGACACAGGCAAACCCAATTAACAATATTTTTTAAACTCAAAACACAAGCAAAAGCAATTGATTCCTAGCAGTGAAAGCAATTGATTTACTGGTGAGCTCACAAAAGCCCCAGTAAATGGATTCAATCGGGTTCCGGTGATGGTGGCGCGCTAGAGCAGACTTACCTCCCGGACCTGCCGGGGGTAAAGCTGCGCTCCAGCCAAAGGAGGGGGTGCGCAGGTTCGTCACCCCACCCCCCAGAGACCCGGTTGAAGGGACTCTGGCCATGGAACTTCTGAGAGGTCGCCTCTTCGATGGCGGAATGCCGGAGAATTGAGGCGCCTCTCCGTTCCGACGGTTCTCCGTGCTGAGAGACCGAATGGACTTAAGCAATGCTAACCGGGGCAAGTGCAGGAGATCGAGCATTTAAAACCGAAAGTAAACAAGGTCTGAGGACCGCTTATGAACGTGAGTCGTTTAAGCGTTGATTACAGAGAAAAGAAAGCTCCTCACCCTAACTACACAATAGAGAATTAGCCAAGCAAGGGAGGGACGCCTCCCGAGCGCATGAACTTTTGAGCGAATGGGGGGGGGGAGCGGAAAAATAAGCAGGTAAAACTGCTAAGAAGTACTTACCAAGGAGTGTTTGAGCATTTAAGCACATATTCAGAGACTTTCAAAAAGTTTGTGAAAGTAAACAATCCGAGAAACATGGCGGGGAAGAGGCCGGAAAAGGAGAAACTTTTGAAAGCGAAAGGAATTGAGAGCCCAAAACCGGAAGGAAACAATGAGCTGGCAAAGACTTTGGCAGAATCCATGCACCCCCAATGGACCAGCTGAATAACTTCAAGGAACAGATGACCAAAGTGACTCAATGTATCACCACTCAGCAAAACCAGATAAACGAGACTCTGAAAATGATTAATCAAACAGCTGAGAAGGTGAAAGAAGTGGATGCCACTGCACAAAAGGTGAAGAAGAAAGTGAAACAACTGGAAAAGAAGCAAGTCTCCACAGAAGATCAGCTGCTGCAATTACAAATATAAAAGGCTAATATGCTGCTTCGCTTCCAGGGCATGCCAGAGACTAAGGATGAGAATCTAAAGGAAATGATGAGTGAAATACTGGCCCCAGTGACAGAGATGAC